GATGATGAAAAAGTTCTGGAAAATAGATAGTGGTAACGGTTATACAACATGGTGAATGTACTTAATGCAATTGATTTGTAGAATTAAAATGGGTTAAAACGGGTTAAAAGTAAATTCTGTTACATATACTTTACTACAGAATTTTAAAAAATTCAATGGGGGTAATAATAGGGGAGCTGGGAGGAATTAAAGAGGAAATGCAAAAAGAGCCTAGCACAGGGCTCAGCGCCCATAGCTCAGTCGTTAGGGCGTTGGCCACGTACACCACGGCTGGTGAGTTTGAACCTGGCCAGAGCCCGCTAAACAACAATGACAACTGCAACAACAACAACAATAACAAAAATAGCTGGGCATGTGACCGGCTCCTGTAGTCCCAGCAACTTGAGAGGTTGAGGCAAAAGAATCTCTTAACCTCAGGAGTTAGAGGTTGCTGTGAGCTGTGATGCCATAGCACTCTACCTGAGGCAACATAGTGAGACTCTGTTTCAAAAAAATAAATAAAAATAAAGAAATAAAAGAGCCTAGTACAATACTTAAATGTTCCACAAATATTAGTGATGAATGTTACTTTTTTTTTTTGTAGAGAGCCAGAGTCTCATTTTGTTGTCTTTGGTAGAGTGTCGTGGTGTCACAGCTCACAGCAAACTCCAGTTCCTGGGCTTAGGCAATTTTCTTGCCTCAGCCTCCCAACTAGCTGGGACTACAGGCACGTGCCACAACGCCCGGCTATTTTTTGTTGTTGTTGCAGTTTGATTGGGGCCGGGTTCGAACCCGCCACCCTCGGTATGAGTTGGTCCCCTACTCACTGAGCCACAATGAATGTTACTATTAAAGGTCAAAAGTTGAAACCCTGGGCAAGGAAAGGACTTGCCTTCAAGGTCTAAGCTGAAATGAAAACCAAGTTTTCGCCTTGCTTATCCAGTGCTCTCTTGTGTTAAGTCTGAGTGATTCTATACTTGGGGATATCTAGGGCTAAGTGGCCCAGGGCTCAATTGCCCTGAGAGATGAAGCTTTCCATTTCCAAAGGTAAAGAGAAAAGAGCCCTAAAAACCCTACTTTTGGCCAGGCGCCCTAGGGGCTCAAGTCTGTAATCCTAACATTCTGGGAGACTGAGTGGGTGGATCACCTGAGCTCATGGGTTCAAGAGCAACCTGACCAAGAGCAAGACCCTATCTGTAAAAATAGCCGGGTGTTGTGGTGGGCACCTGTAGTCCCAGCTGCTCAGGAGGCTGAGGCAAGAGAATCACTTGAGCCCAAGAGTCTGAGGTTGCTATGAGCTAGACTCTCTCAAAAAACCAAAAAACTTTATTTTTGCCTTCTTTCCCTCTTTTGCTGGTCTTGCTGTCTGCCAACTTCCATCGAAAGTACTCCCCTCTCTCCTTTTAGATATGTTTGGCTGTTGTCCTGGTTTCTCCTTCTCACTAAATATCTGGGTTTCTGATTGTTCCTTTATTTCCCAGATGTACTAGTTTGCATTTTCCCCAGTCACATCCCTTATGTTCTCTAATCCAGATTTCTAGACTCTGTAGGGGAGAGAGAAATTTTTTTTTTCTCTCCAGAGTTTTTAAATAGACTATTTCCTACTGGTTACCTATGTGCAATAACTATTCTGTTAGATTTTGCTGTTCTGGTCAGGGAAGCTGAGCAAAAACAGGGCTGGAAAATAGGTTTTTTTCAGACTGTTTCTTGGTGATGTCTTAGATTATTGCAGACATGAGGGTTTTTGTTTGTTTGTTTTTGAGACAGAGTCTCAAGCTATCACCCTGGGTAGAGTGTCATTGTGTCATAGCTCATAACAACTTACAACTTGGGCTCAAGTGATCCTCTTGCCTCAGTTTTTCTATTATTAGTAGAGAGAGGATCTCACTTTTGCTCAGGCTGATCTTGAACTTGCGAGCTCAGGCAATCCACCGCCTCAGCCTCCCAGAGTGCTAGGATTATAGGCCTGAGCCACTGCGCCGGGCCAGGGTT